GTCTTCCACATTACGTTTTGTTGATATTATATTGAAATGTTTAAGGTTTAGATTGGTTGGTTCGCTCACATAGGAGGGTAAGTGTGGGTGCCAGTTGCGGCCCGGTTTGGGTCGTGACAAACGTCGACCTGGACTGACGGGTCGTCGTTCAATCGACGGTCCATCGTTCGGGTTTACCCAATAGGCCTTCACTATAAAGGGCATAACTTTTCCCTCGGAGGTTGGATTTTATCAAACTCGGTGGACTTAGAGAGATAATTCAATTGTCTATCATTTCATAGGTAATGGGACACCTAATTCATTTTTTGTGCTAAATGTTATAACCATTTGAAGTTGACCCGACAACATTTTCCCACTGACTGAATGCTAACTTTCACCTACGAGAAGACCTATGGAACGTAGATCAAACAACGGTCTCTACTGGTCATCCATAGTTCTTATCAGAGATTAGGTAATGGGGTCTTCATCCATGGACAACGACTATGTAGCATAGTCTGACTTATGGACCGTAGGTCTGTCTGTGGGTCTAGATTTAACTGATTTTTCTGAGCTGAGTTTGGGATGGGATACTGTGGCAATGTACTGACCAACAGTATAAGTCGTATATCACACTGTGATCCATAGATGGTGATCGTCGATTGCAACTATGATTTTTCTGAAAAGCTGATTTTGGTCTGTTTTGGATACGGGGTGTTACATTATCTTCCCTTGAGAACATTCACCGTCGAATGAAGACTAAAATAGCTTAAATAGAGGTAGAAAGATGCAATCCCTACCAGTAAACACTTAGAACTGAGTTTCTGACTGAATTGAGTTCCAAAAATATGCAAATACACTGAAAATGCAAGTACAAACTGAGGGAGCATGATTCTAAGGCTAAATTCACGCATGAATGACTGATAAATTATGGTTTTCATTGTCAACTGATGTATACAAGGGTAACTAGGATCAATGTAGCACTTCATTGATCAAGTTGAACACTCACAGTCAGATTAGTGAGGCTCATTGCATTTCGGAGAATTCTTTTTACTTTGCTTTAACTATTTCATTGTTAGGATGATTGAGGGTTTTTTACTTACATCCCTCCTTATTTTAGAGCTTTCATAGATAGTTAGTTGTTTAATTTTCTTTACAGTATCATTCAGATTTTGCTTAAATACTTAAGTAACCATTTTGCCTAAGTTATATCTCCTTAAAGTTATGTTTTGAGATTAGCTTGTTAGTTAAGTCATCTATTGAGTAAGTAAGCTATACCAAGGACTTACATGGGTCCAACAATTGTTCTCGAATGCCATCCCCGTATCGAGTGTAAGCTCGAGTCATGACATGCTTGCATCATCTATTGATGAAGACACATGTAACTAAAATGAGCATCTAGTACCTCGTTGATTCAGTTAAGAACTCTTAGTTTGTTAGTGAGCGTCCTTGCATTATGGAGGACTCCTTTTTATCATTTTCTGTCATTATTTCATTGTTAGGATGATTAGGGGTCTTGTCCTGACATTCCTTTTTATTTTAGAGGCTTCATATATAAACAATATTAGTCCTCTAGTCTTTCTCATTTTATATGTATACATTTAAGACATTAATTGTCATTTTGGATAAGTTATAATCTTTTAAGATTATTGCGTGAGTTATATTCTTGTGTTTAAGTCTCCATCAGAGTAAGTAAGCTAGTCCAAGGGTTTGCTTGCGGTCATCAATATTTCTTGAGTGCTAGCCACGTCTGGGTGTAGGCTAAGGGCATGAAAATAAAAGGACACTACATATACTATCTAGTGTTATATATTGATCAAAAGTGAAAATTGATAAATATATTATAACACTTTAATTCAGATAAATTAAAGGATCCTTCAATCTTCAAATTCTTGTATTATTAATGTATATGTTTATGAGTTTTCAATAGAAATCGTCTTAATGTAAGAGTCCTTTTGGTTTGGTTAAAATTCTTCCTTCTAATTACTGGAAAATAAAGGGATTATATGCAATGACTTTCTCCGGTCATTATAAAAAAGACAACGAAGAAAAATTTTGGGCAGTAAGATTTTTTGGTAGTAGCTTGAGAATTCCTAGCCTAGTTCAAATTTGGATGAAATCAAAGTTAGAGAGGTCTAAGGAAATGTGGTAATAAAGGAGAGATATAATTATGAATTAGATCACACGAGTAGATAACTAAGATATTTAGGAACCATTACGACTTTATGATATCAAATTCATGCGAGTAAAACTCCCAAAACTGATCTTAGCGTGAACGGGTAGTTTTTGATTGTCATGGGTTGAAGATGTGCTGTGAAATTGGGGTTTGGAACTGAAATTTTGACTCCCTATTTGTGTTCAAGTCGCCAAGGGGGGCCCGTTGTGGCGTTTTGTGTTTCGCTACGGTGGGACACGTGCGACTCAATTCGGAATTAAATCTCAAAAATGTCATTATTCTGGAAACATAATTCATAAGCGCTATAGAAATTTTCGATCTATAGAACTTATATTTTTAGATATTAATCATTGGCGAGGGTTTTTGGAATGAATTAGATAGTGGAAAAAATCCGTAGCTGCACCTCATGATCATAAGTTAGTTATTGGATTATAGGATCTTATTTAATCTAGGAAAAATAGAACATTAATTATTGATCTTTTCATTAAATTACTTGTTTGTAGACCTAGAACAAGACGAAAGAATTCGGAAAGGGAAGTATCAACTTTCTTAGGAGGATTCAAACCTGGTTTTGAGGTAAGTAATGGATTAATTTAATGTTTTTGTTATGTATGTTAGTATTTGAATCATTGTAATGCATGTGTGCATGCGAATTTTGTACTCATGATAACATCTAATTCAAATGAGTATGAATAAATGACTATAATCCATGAATCAACACTTGATTGTATGGTTATGAGAATGTACATTGTGATTGTAATTGTGACATGTTGAATATATCAGGTTTTACGTTTTGACACACTAACAGGGATTTGATTTCACATACCAACATACATATTTGAACAAGTGTCACATTCTGACACACTAAATTGGATCAGGTGTCACGATTCGACACACTAATATTCTGCGTATGTGTTCTATAAGAGGACAATTGATATGTAATATATGTGTATTATTCAAAATGTCGAATGATACACTGCTTTTAAAAAGATAACTAATATTTAACATGTTTGGTATCTGCTTGTCTACTACGATGTAAATGCCTATATAAGTTTCACTAATTTAAACTGTCCCGTGATCCTACTAGTACACTCTTGTTGTGTAATGATAATACACTTGATCTTTTTTGTTGAGTACATGATATCTTCAGGAAACTACCAACAAACATCAATTAAGAGATTAGTGAGAAAGATCAAATTCAAAGGTAAGTCATTTCTTTAGGCTGCATTGGGTCCTTAATGTTAAGTCCACTCTTTTCAGACTGAGACTTTCTAGTTAGACTTACTCGTATGTTTAGTTTGTGTTGTACCCATTTTTCTTAGACTTGTTGAACTTCAGATGTTTTTTTGCACATTAACTTTCATATTCTAAGGGTGTTTTCCTCAATGTTTTAGTGATGGTTCGTTCAAATTTCAGAGTATATGGGATTTAAACTTTATTTGTGCATTTAAACCTGCTTCTGTATACTTAAAGGATTAGTTTTTTGGTTAGTTGATTAGTATTAATGGTTCTCCCATCAGAGGGTTAGTGTGGGTGCCAATTATGACGGTTTGTGTTGAGATAATATATCAATTCATTGAAAGCACGAGTATGTAATATAGTTTGATGATGAAAAAATGAACTATATGTTTTAAGGTAATTCAACTGAAATATAGTATAAATCATGATGAAATATGATTAAGCTCTTACCATAAGGATGCAAGAATAGTAAATCCTAAAGTGATTAGTAAATCAAGTTAGAATCTCTTTACCGGACAACCATTATTATAAGCCTCGTGATGATACATCGTCTCACTGATAAAACTAGAACTATCCTATACCATGCAGGGGTATATAGAAAATTCAACTCATGAATCCACTATAAAGTTTGTTAAAAGACAGTGAGGACTCGCCCCAAAGTTAGTGTGATCCTTACCTACGCTGGCTACATGGTTTATGGGAAATTTGAGATATTCCAAATCTTCCCCATATCGGTGTTAAATACTACTAAAAAATATCTAATTTAATGTTAAAGTAACAACTCTCTCTCTTGGTTGTGATAAGTTTTTAAAAGGTCCTCTTAAGGAGGTAACTGCTCAAGTAAAATACTCTCTTTATATTTTTTGATGGGTAAAGTTTACTGTGTACAGTTCATTTACATGTATAAATTATTAAGGAAAGGAACATGTTATAAAAGCAATAGATTTTTTACAACATATAGATATCTACAGATAAAAAGAAGAAGCATCAATAAAAAAAGTTAGTAACCTACATAAATAAATAAATAAATAATAATGAAATAGAGATATGGATGAGTATGAGTAAAATGATTTCAAGTATATAGAAAAATTGAAATTTATACTATTTTGGATGGTTATTATGTATTATTTCGTAATGCATCATATAGTGTTCAAATATCAGATTTTTGGATAATGAAAAAAAGAGACACTAAATTTGTTGTATCATATTAAGAATTTAAAATGAATTATAAAGTGCTCGAGAATATTCTAAAGTAGTCTATACATGTTAAAGTGCATTGTTATTTATTTGCTATATTGTTTAACTTTTCATAAGTGACAAGTATTTTTTACGAGTTTAGCAACACACTAGAACACACACAACTAACTTAATTTTTTAAATAAATGTGCTTATATTTTTTTATTTGTTGAATATGAGTTAGACGGTATGTATTTTAATATTGTTAATAATATTTGATTGATTTCATTAACCATTACTTTATTACGAAATATGCATAATAGATCAAGAGAAAATTTAGAAAATATACAAACAAAATAAAAAACTATATTTACCTAAAAAGTATCATCAATTTATATATTAACTTACTAAAACATTCGTTACAAAGAATGAAACCATTTTTTTAATAATCAAATAACATAAATCTAAATAAAAAATGTCATTTGTAATTACCATCGTTACTTGTAGACTAACAATACAATAAACCAAAAAGAGAAATTTAATTAATATGAAATGATTTGTTCTCAAATCTACAAAATATGGAAACATCATGCATATTTTTAATTTTTTGTCATTTGAGTTCATTTTCAACATATTCTATCATGATTTTATCAATATAAATATATCTTTAGAAGAGAAACACAATTTCACATTTTCTTACATTCTCAAAACAGAAGCTTAGTCATGAGATAACCTTATTGTTGTAAAAGAGTTAAAATAGTGATTATGCCAAATCAAAGAATTTACAAGTAACATTCTCAAAATGATGCAATGAAGTCTTTAAATAGTCAAATGAGCTCTCCAATTTATGTGGTGCTGATGTTGTTGTTATAGTTTTCTCTCCGAACAATAAACATAAATCATGTGGACACCTTCCATTGAGTCTATCATTATTGCTCATGAAAATGCAAATACTAATGAAATCAATAGGAAGCTAAACATATTGGAGGTTTCACTAGAAAGATAAAAACATATGGGGAAGCAGTCCAAGCATCGAGAAAAGAACCTCAAATTAAAAACCTCTGTTCCTTTGACAATTAAAATTGTGCAACGCCTTGAAAGTTGTGGATGAGGAAATTCAAAGAATGGTAAGCATAAAAAAGAGCACGGTTTTAAATTTCCTAATAAAACCATTGGAAGAGAATTTTCTCCTCTAAGAGTTACAGAACATTCTTTGTCTGATTCTGATGAAGGGCCATCTCGATCCAATGAATAGAATTTTCTTGCTTTAATGAAGATTCTATCACGTAATTTGATACTTATTGAGTTATAATTGTCATATTAATAATTATGCTCATTTTATCTTTGATTATAATTTATCTTTCAGTATGTTGATCATGGAATGTAATGTGTTTTTATTTAATACCTTCTTCGTTTCAATTTCTTCTCTTGTTTTTTTCCTTCTAAACAAGAAAGTGTTTTTTCCTTTTCTTGTGACTCGTAATTTTTAATTTTCACTTTCTATATTTAAACTAGGGAGGTCTAGGAAAATCTGGTAATTAATGAGATACATTATTATGGGTTTTTATCATACGAGTAGATATATATGACATAACGGAACCGTACAATATTACAATATCAAATTCGGGTGAGTAGAACTCCTGAAACTGACATTAGCGTGAACAATTAGTTTCTAACTGTTATGGGTAGAAAGTGTGTTGTGAAATGGGGGTTTGGAACTGAACTTTCGACTCGCTGTTTCTATGAAAGCTACCTGGGATAGGCTTATGTGGCGGGCTTTGTCCCGCAACGACATGCCAGCCGCGTCTTAAGTCGGGATTTAGCCCCAAAATGTCATTATTTTGCAAACATCATTCTTATGAGCTAGGACATGACCCCATGCTATTTCTTGACAGATTTCCATTACTTTTGGTGCAAAAATTAAGGTTCTTACTCCCCTAATCCATTTTTCTTCATAGAAAATAGATTCTTAGATATTAATCATTAGGGATGGTTTTTGGAGTAGATTGGATGGTGGGAAAATGTCATAGCTTAACCTTAGGTTATTGGTTTGGTTTCGTCTTATTCGATTTATTATAATCCGTGAAAATTAGGCCTTATTTATTGATCCTTGCATTATATAACTTGTTTGCTGATCCAAAAACAAGAAGAAAGAATCCAAAAAGGGAAGAATCAAGCTTCTTTAAAAATTCAAGTTCGTGATTTGATTTCATGTTCGTGTGATGTATGTTAGTATTTTCTTTAGTGTAATGCATCAGTGTATGCGAATTTTGAATATTTATTATACCAAATGCAAATAAGTATGAATGAGTGGTTGTAAGCCATGAATCTACACTTGGTTGTATGATTATGAGAATGTACATTGTGATTGTGATTGTGGCATGTTGAATGGATCTGGTGTCACATTCCGGAACACTTTCTGGGATTGAATGTCAGGTACCAACGCACATATTGGAACGGGTGTCATGTTCTCACACACTATCTTTGATTGGATGACACGATCTGGCTCATTAATTGTTTAGGTATGGATTCTATGAGAGGACCGTTGACTTCTCATGTATGTGCATTATTCCGAATATGGAATGGTACATTACTCCTAAAAAGACATTTGATATTGTGTATATTGGATATAAATGTGTTTACTCTGATGTGACTGTTTATACGTGTTTCACTTACTAGAACGGTCGTGTGATTCAACTTGTACATTGTGGTTGTGTACTAATAGTACACTTGATCTTTGTTTGATAAGTACATGGAATCTTCAAACAACTACTCAACGACCTTATTTAGGAGAGTGAGAAGGATCATACTCAAGGGTAAGCCAGTTAAATTAGGCTGTCATTGTTATGGCACATTTAAGATTTTAGGGGTGTTTTTTGCAATGTTTTAGTGATGATTCATTAGACTTTCGAAGTTTATAGGAACTCGACCTTATTTCTGCATCTAAAACTGCCTCTGTATCCTTAAATGACTAGTTTTTGGTTTAGCTAATTAGTATTAGTAGTTCTCTCATCAGAGATGAAATGCTATATTCCCATCACTAGGGAAATGTCCACGGGGGAAAATTGGGGCCAAAAAAACTTTTTCATAGTATTAAGATTTTTTCAATCCTTGTCATGATTTGCAGGATATTAGAGTCACAAAAGTGTATGGAAATATGGTAGCAATTGGGTGGATTATTTATGATTTTGAATGTATGGTTAGTTAAAAAAATCATTAACAAATTGTAGAACTCTACAAAATTGAATTTGGGTAAGTAAACGCCCATCGAACTAAGCATGAACGGTATGTTATGATCGTCAT